GTTTTGCTATGAAATTTCCTGCTTATGGGAATTAGCTTTAATGCTGCAGTCATAAATGCCACACTGCAATGAAATGTAGCACGTTTAACACACTATTCGTGAAAATATCAGTTCTATTATTTTGCATGATAATATGAAATTGTTATTTTATTTGGCCAAAAAGTTCTTGGGTATTGACAATATTACATAGTTCAACCCAATATTATCATTAGCTGAGAACTGCACTGAAGTATACTTATGGAATATTATGCTAATATGGTATAGCTTTCAAGAATTTGTTTGCTCTCTTGTTGGATTATCAATAGTCCCAGAAATATTACCTCATGCATTGAATTCATGGGACCATTTCTATGATTGTCAGTAATTTTCTCAAGTTCCAAGCCTGTGCTAGTTACATATGATTACAAACAAATGTCTTAACAATATTTGGTGTTAAAGCTCATTATAGTTCTAGAAAGACAGGAGACATTGAGACATCAACATAATTCAAGAATGCACAAATTTACAGTAGAATGCTATGAGCTTTGATTCTAAAGCCATTGTTGTCATGGAAACTAAGATTTTCATAATTTTGAGTAATTATCTTTATCATTTCTATGAGTATAAGCCTCTTAGAACTCTAAGTATAAGCTCATAATTTTGACTATGATTCAATTTCCTTTCCTCAATAATCCTATTATTGACTTTAACTGAAGAGCAACACTGAGTGACAATGCAATCAAGATCTATAATACTATATCTATTGTAGATTTTAAGTTTGGAAATCCTTCAGGTAATAATAATATATAAGAATCAAATACATAGAACCCAACATTACTTCACCCTAACCTAAACAATTCAACTTATTCATCGGTTGTCAACATGACTTCATTTTCACAAAAATTGCCTTTAAATGGAAAAGTAAATTTTTATTATTGGTGAAGTGATTGTTTGGTCACATTATATGGCATATACAGGAACAGTTCTAATGAAGGTATTTGTTAAATGATCTAATAGCCTGAATTTATGTTGAAATTGCAGACTCTTAGATCTATGACAGTGCACTTGCCAAGGGCATTCAATTTCCTGTGGATGGTGACCAAGAGAACTTGCACAAAAATATAAAATAAATTTACAAGAATATTCCAGAAAAAGGACCTCATGGTAGACTCATTCTCATAGTGATTTGACATATTCTCAGTTCTATTTCAAGCTTCTGTTGCAATAATCACAGCTCTGTGATAACTATTTACAGCCCACACATGGCCAGGCATACTGTTTATAAGTCTACTTTTGCTTATTTTGCATTTAAATAATTTGTGGCCCTTGTCCAAGTGTCTGGGTAATGTCGCACCTCATCATGGACAAGCAAAAGAACAGGCTAAAAAATCATGGTGCCGGTTATGAAAGCTATATCAAGTTAATTGTTGGAGGAATTAGCTTGCTTTTAGTCAGTAAAGTAATTTACTAACTGGGGTGGAGTCTAAGGTTATGCCTTATCTCTTATCATCTATATCACCCATGTTTTTACTTCTCTTGCTTTCCCATTGCCCAACACCTGATGCAACTGATTATCTTTTTGAATAAATGAATGTAAAATATAAAAGATATACTTTGGATGAAATTATAATCTATCTCAATCCCCACCCCTCTTCCTTGATTTTTAATGGAAATGTTAGTTTATCCTGGGAATCATAAGGCTAGAGATCACTGAGTCTGTGCTTACGGTGTGTGTGTGTGTGCCTATCTTAAGATATTTCCAAAGACATTTAAAATATTTTAAGTTTATCTGTCCTATTTTTTTTTGTCTTCTCATAATTATTTAATTAAATACCACTTTCTTGCCAATGGTCAATATATTTAATGATAAAACACTGATATCATTGAGAAATTTATGTGACCAAATAAACAAAACAAAACAAAAACCCCAAAGAAGTCTGTTATTATTTTTTACATTGCTTTAGAAATACTAAGCAATGTAATAAGAGATGAAAAGTAATAAAACATAGTTATTGAAAGATGATGAGATAAAATGTCTTATTTGTAAACTATCAATTTGCTTACTTTGATTTTTCAGGTATAAAATAAAAAAGAAATAAGAGCAGTGAGTTGAAGTAGCATAGATCAGCACTTCTCAAGATGTGGTCCCAGGACCATCTCAGAGGTTTACTGAGCTATTTTCTTAGTAATACTAAGATTTTTTTATTTTATTTTTTTGCCTTTGCACTCTGATTATCTCATGAGTTTTCTGCAGGCAATGTGTTGTTCTCTCTCAATATATTGAAAGAAGAAACATATATTAGGATCTGTTTTCTATTAAGCCAGATATTTAAGAGATTTATAAAATTATAGAATAATACCCCTTTTCTCACTAAATGTTTGTTTTGGGAAACAATTATTTTTCATAAAAGTAGGTTACTTATGTTCATATATAATGGGATTCTTGTTATAGTTTTCATGAGTAGAAACATTTCAAGAATTACAAATTCAAACAAATGTAAATATCATTAGTTATAACTCACATGTACAAAAACTCATTGATGTCTTCAGTGGTTTTTGAGACTGTAAAGTACTTTTGAGATTAAAAAAATTGAGACCTGCTGTTGCAGAGAATGAGCAATATACTGCAATAACCAGTTATAATTTAAAATGGAAATAATAATATATCTTATAGACCTATCTGAAGTATATGAAAATAGTTTAGGATATTAAAGAGGACTCAATAAATGGAGATTCATACCATGTTCTTTGATGGGAAGTGTTATTACTATACTAATGTTTATTTTCCTTAATTAATTTATAGATTTCACATATATCCAAACAATGGATTTGGTAAGCCTGTGGAAATAAAAATTTGCATAAAATTTAACTAAAGGATCTTAAAGTTTGTGCAAGAATAATAGGTATTAACTGCAAAAAAATTTTTAAAGAAGTATAATCAGGTAGACCTGTCTTATCTGATATTAAAATTATAATATAGAGTCAGATAAGGAAAATCAAATATTTAACTCAAAATTAGTTTCAAGGTACTGTGAATATACTTGAATATGTATATGCTTGTGTGCATTGATTATATGATAAAGGAAATCTTAGTGTTCAACCTCACTCACCATAAGAATATATAAATGAAATAATTCTTATCAGTTTAGTGAAGATAAAATATTAGTATTAGAGGTAATAATATAGCTAAGCATTTATAAATTGTTGGGGAAAGAAATTGTAAATTGCAACAACCTTTTTGGATAACTATATATCAAGTGCTTCAAAATATTCATAATCTTTAATGTGGCAAATTTATTTTTCTCTCTCGAGGAAAAATTCAGAAATGCAAAAGTATTTATACACAAAAATGTACATGGCACCATTTTTTATAATAAGACACATTTTAGAATGTCTACATATTGAGAAATGATATTTTCATAACAAATATGGTATTGACTAGGAAAAATTGCATCTAGAATAATGATTGAAAATAGAAAATACATTTCATATATTTTATAAATCCAACTATGTAAAAAGGGTTACAAAATACCAGGAGAAGATACCTTAATAAATTAATAGTGGTTATCTCTGGATTCTGGAATTATGAATAGTTTTTATTCATAGCATACCTTTATAAATTTCTGTATTTTTCTTATTTTTTGCAATGAACACATGTCTTAGTTAATGTAAACAATTATAACTCAATTAACTTTACACACAACCACTGATGTTTTAATTTATAGATGAAAATACAATAGATGAATGAGACTTTATTCTGTATTTTAGTTCTGGATTACCTGCTTTACCATACCTGACAGTAACTTCTTGGATAGTGCCTCCAAGTATTGATACAGTGTAGTGTTTGCCCATTCACCAGTAAACTATATAATCTTAAACAAGCCACTTTACCTCTTAGGTCTTTCATTTCTTTGCCTATTAAATAAAGTTTTCTCTAATTTTAAAATCTGTAAGTCAAGTGATGAAGATTTCTAAGACTATATTTCCAACAGAAATGTCTTATCTGAACTATCTCTATGGTTTTCTTTCACTACACATTTTTTCCTAACATATTCCCATTATTTTTATTTTATTTATTTTTATTAATTTCAGAGAAGAGGGGAGAGGGAGAGAGAGATAGAAATATCAATGATGAGAGAGAATCATTGATCGGCTGCCTCGCACATGTCCTCTATTGGGGATCAAGCTTGATGGGACTGTGATCTCCTGGTTCATAGTCAATGCTCAACCACTGAGCTATGTGGTTTGGGCTCATATTCCCTTCTATGTTTAGTGTTTGTGGAACTTCCGATTCCCATCCCCAACATCTGATGATTGAAGAAGGGCTTAAAATGTCATCATCTGTCTGTACTACTCAAGGCAGCATCTATATCCTCATGGTCCTATGGAAATATTGTTAACTGTATCTATGGGTCTTTGGTGATACTCGTTGTCATAGAATTTATAAGAATGCGTAGAGAGTCTAAGAATCTAGATATAGATGACTTACTTAGGGAATAATGAACTGCAGTTGCCTTTCCTGTTTCATCTTTGCCTGTTTTGTTGGACCTCATTGATATATGTTCTCTATAGCTTCACACTCCCCAGGTTTGGCTACTTATGTTTAACATTCAAAACAATTAGGACTTTGGAAATATTTGTGTTTTTGATGAAGGTGTATATATTATTTAAATTGTAGTTTACCATCTGATATTTTAATTCTGTGATGTCTACTAAAAATGCATTGCTACAGTTAGTTGCTAAGGTAAATAAGTCACTATATATGTTAATGGGTGATATGAATGCATATTGGTACAATATGATAAGCTTCCTGCAGATCCATTCACTTGCTATCAAATAGAATTATTGAATTTATTAAATTCTATAGTATAAAGTTGTAATCTATATTGTATACTTTAAGTGGAAAAGCAAATCTTAGCATTGAATCTTCTTGTCTAATTAGCCATCTGGGGTGGAATATATGCTGTTTGATGCCTCCATGTGATTCATGTGTACTGATGAATTTCTTTTTAAACTTGCAGCAAATAGTGGCAGCAATAAATGCAGGGATTATACCGTTAGGAAACACCTCCAATCAAATCAGTCACTGGGACTTGGGAAGTTCCTTCTTCTTTGCTGGCACTGTTATTACCACCATAGGTAGGAGACAACTTATTTTGTTTTTTAATTTTGGTACAGCTTGTGAGCTAAAATTCATTTGTTTGAATTTTTTTATTTTTTACAGTCGGTCAAATGGTCTTTGTAAGGTAGAAAACTAGATTTTAGTGAATTAATTTTGGAAAGAAGGTTTAAATATTTGAACAAAGGAATGATGGAAATGAATTAGTTACTGTTTCAGAATCCTGAGTTAAATTTAAAATACACATGAAACTCCAGGGTAGTGCAGTTGTTATTCAACTAATGGGTAGGAACTTCATGCAATGGCTTGAAATTATGATTTTGTGTGTGTGTGTGTGTGTGTGTGTGTGTGTGTGTGTGGTGGGGGAGGGCAAACAGTTTAAAATTTTCCTGCATCTTTGATTCTTTGGTTTTAGAAACAAAGGATTGGAATACAATTTTGACTTTTTAAAATGATTTTATATTAACTTTTTTAATTTATAGGTTTTTAACTCTACATTTTAACAGGTTATTCCTGTTTTTATACGCATCTCTATTTTAATCACTTCAGGGCTTTCTTTTTATAAGTGTTTCCAATAGTGTGTGTGTGTGTGTGTGTGTGTGTGTGTGTGTGTATGTGTGTGTGTGTGTGTGTGTGTGTGTGTATGCCTAAGGGACTGGCTGACTGGCCAGTAGCTATGACATTCAATGACCACCAAAGGGTAGACGCTCAATGCACAGGCATGGAAACATGAAACAAACGGATGAATCACAGAGGCAAGCGAAGAGGGGAAAGGGCAGGAAGAGATTAGCCAAAAATCTTATATGCATACTAGAGGCCCAGTGCATAGATTTGTGCACCATTTGGGTCCCTTGGCCTGGCCTGTGGGGGTCAGGCCAAAACCAGCTCTCTGACATCCCCCAAGGAGTCCTGTGTTATGAGAGCGCACAGACCAGACTGAGGGACCACACTGGTGCACGAATCCATGCACCAGGCCTCTAGCATCCTATATAATAAAAGCTTTATATACAAATCGACTGAATAGCAGAATGACTAGTCGCTATGATGTGTACTGACCATCAGGGGCAGGCAATCAATACAGGAGTTTCCTCTAGTTTGCAGGCCTCAGGCCGGCCAAGGCAGAGGCCAGTGTGGACCCCTGATTGCTCCCTGCAAAGGGAGGCTACTGGTGGTGTTGGGGGGCGGGGCTGGGGAGCGGGCAGCGCCAGGCCAGCCAAGGTGGATGCCAGTGGGGCCTTCCTCCCGACATCACCGTGCTGGATGCCCCACAGATCGGCCCTGATTGCCTGCCAGGCTTAGGGATCCTACTGTGCATGAATTTTGTACACCAGGCCTCTACAGTGTGTGTGTGTGTGTGTGTGTGTGTGTGTGTGTGTGTGTGTGTGTGTGTAAAATAAAAGGCTAATATGTAAATTGACCAAATGATGGAACAACCAGTTGCTATGATGCACACTGACCACTAGGGGCAGATGCTCAACACAGGAAGCCAGCCTCATGGCTGGCTAGTGCAGTGGGGTTGGTAAGAGCCTCCCCTGCTTCTGAAGCAGTGCTAAGGATGTCTGACTGCTGGCTTAGGCCCGCTCCCCTTCACCTTTTATTATATAAGCTATAAATTGGACATCCCCCAAGGGCTCCTGGACTGTAAGAGGGCACAGGCCAGGCTGTGGGGAACACGTTCTCTCCCCCCCCCCACACACACACACACACCGCTGCCCCGAGTGCACAAGCACCTTCTAGGCAGCAGAATGGGTACGTGTAGATAACTTCTCTTCTGTTAGTCACTCAGTGCCCAAGAAATACCCAGAAGACATAAGTCATAAATGCCAGGTTTGGGGACCAGGGAGAGTTATAGCTGTCTGGTTTAATGGAAAGAGGTCATTTTAAAGCATAATATTCAAGATAAGGAAAATGATCCATCACAGTTATGAAGGAATTTCAAGTGGAAAAAAATATGTGTGCAAAACCAAGTTCTGCCCTTCCACTTATGCCTCTCCTGGACTCGATTTCTGATTTTGGGCTGTGAATTAAGTTTCTAAAAATTTTCATTGTATTCTTTGGTGTCATTGACAAGTGACACATTAAGTTTATAAGGTTTCAAATCAGGCCTGTCATTATGAATCCACTGCAGTGCCTCTTTGTGCTGGGTCACTTGCCAGTGAAATAAATACCTTAGCATGTTGATTTTTGCCTTCGTTAAGAGGTCAAGGAACGATGTTTACTCTTACTTTTCCATTAGCTAAGTCAAAAAGTTGTGTGGCTGTGAAAATCTGGAAGAATGGCAACCTTGATTTCTAACCATAATGACAGGTTAACTTTGGCGTGTAGGCATCTCAGTCATTTCTACTATGGAAATGACTGTTTATTGTGAAAACTACTTAGAGTCCGGAAGGGAAAAAAACTCACGGACTGAGTGAGAATGGTTTGTCTCTGCCCAGTGAAAACTCAGAAGTCCAAGTTATAACTCATCATGACCACCACTAAATTATTCCACTGGAGACTCAGTCATTATATAGTCTTCCTGTTGCAGGGTATGTTTATAAACAGTCTCATTTTTTGAATCCCAAATTCAGTAAGTTTTGCAGACATCTCCTTCAACACATGAAAAAAATAAGCCATTATTACCAGCCTTATCCCAAATGATAGCCATTAAGCACAGTAACTGATTATTTAGGTTGTTTAGGTAGCTGCCTGACAGCCCAGATCGCCTACTGTTCTATCTCAGGCTTCATCTTAGGTGAGTTAAGTCATTCCAGGTCATCCAGATTTATTTCATGGTCTTTTACTCCCAGGTCAAGGCCACCTCCTCTGACCTTGCACTAGATCAGGGAACATCTGGCCGGCAGGGCGTATATGATCGGCAAAATCATTTGATCTGGCCCTGCCAGATTAGGGGTACATGAATGAACTGACCAAATATAGCAGACTAATTTTTATTTTTATTTTTTTATTTATTTATTTTTTAAATATATTTTATTGATTTTGTACAGAGAAGAAGGGAGAGAGATAGAGAGCCAGAAACATCGATGAGAGAGAGTCATCGATCAGCTGCCTCTTGCATACCCCCTACTGGGGATGTGCCCGCAACCAAGGTACATGCCCTTGACCGGAATCGAACCCGGGACCCTTCAGTCCCCAAGCCGACGCTCTATCCATTGAGCCAAACCGGTCCCGGCAGCAGACTAATTTTTAAACTGATCATTTTGTATGGCCTTCGAATGCTGATATAAATGTCCAAATGGCCCTTGGCAGGAAAAAGGTTCCCTATCCCTGGACTAGATTATCGTTTAAGGTTCAGTGAACATTTTGGCCTCTTTCATAGGTGTGCGTTTGGAAATTTAAAATGTAATTGTACTCCTTCCCTCTCCCCACCCCTACCCCCTCCTTTGCTCGCTCAATCTCTTTTGTTCAGCATGCATGTGTAACTTGAAGCTAAATTGTATTATCTGGAAATCTGACTGGAGCCACAGATACAGAATCTGTATTGTTCTTACTGAAACACAGCATAGAATTAACATTAAAGTTAAATAAAACAAACCTAAATGAAAAATGAAAAAAAAATGCAATTACTAATAATGTTAATGATAATTGTGTGGGCCTTGAAGTGGTTTTTAGCAATCACAGAAATTGTAACCTCTAGCACTAGTTGCATTGTATCAGTCATTTAAAAATAGAACTTGAACCCTAGCTGGTTTGGCTCAGTAGATAGAACTTCAGCCTGTGGACTGAAGAGATCCTCAGTTCAATTTTGGTCAAGGGCATATACCTGGGTTGTAGGCTCGATCCCCAGTAGGGGGCATGCAGGAGGCAGCCAATCAATGACACTCTCTCATCATAGATGTTTCTATCTTTCCCTTTTTTTTCTGCTCTGAAGGAATAAACAAAACAAAACAAAACAAAAACAAAAACAAAAAATGTATTTAAAACAGTAAAAATAGAACTTGAGACAGTAGTTTTGGAGAATAAATTGCAGTGGGTTTTATAATGTGCCTGGAACAGGTAGTGCTTCAACATTGGCTGTTATTGTCCAAGACTTTTCTATACAATATTAGCAATTTGCCATAGAGACCAAAGTTATCCTTACTGCTCATTGAAAATATGCCCAAGGAGAGTTCGATTACACAAAATGGAATATTAAAGTTTAAGGACTAATTTTAGAGAATCTCTTCATATATCTATATACTCTTTCCAAAATCACGCCCTTCTAAAGCCTTCACAAATTCCATTCCATAGTTGTACAAACTAAAACCCATTTTTTAAAAACAATTCTCTCTCTCTCTCTCTCTCTCTCTCTCTCTCTCTCTCTCTCTCTCTCTCTCTCCACTTTCTGACTATTAACCAATTCTGCTGGCTCTGCCTTTAAAGGAGATCCACCATTTAACTATCATTTTGGTCCCAGCCAGCATCATCTCAGTGTCAGGATCCTTGTAGAAAAGAACCTTCTACTCAGAACCTTCTGTAGTTTCCTACTCAGTTAGAGCAAAAACCATACTTTATGCCTCTCTCATCATAGATGCAAGTTCTATGAGGTTAAGGGATTTTATGTGTTTGAATCTTTTCTGAATTCCCAATGTCTGACCATAATGGGTACTTGATAATTATTTCTGAAATAAAAAATTAGGCATTCTAAGTGGAATGAAGTGTGGCTTACTAGACATGATATAATGCTAAATCGATACCAATTATACTAAATTCTTAGCTCTTTTCATAGATTTCATTACTGATTTTTTGTTTGTTCATTTGTTGAATCAACAAATAATAATACAGTACCACTCTGGTACTCCAACAATAAAAGATCAATTACTTGAGCTTAAGTTGCATAAGGACCAGTTGAGAAGCCAAAGGGGCCAATGATCATTTACCCTCTAGTGTGTCAAGTTTGTTTCAGAACAATCTATGGAAGTGGGTAGGAGTGATCCTTTACATAGATATCAGGGTAGACAGGTAGGTGAGGGAAGGGACAAGGAATACTTTCCTTAGTGAGCATCCTGGTTGAGACTGGAAAGATAACTAGGAATTTTCC